GTAGTGAGTAGTGATTTGTGGGCAATGAGTAGTGAGTAGTGAGTAGTGAGTAGTGGATAGTGGGTAGCGGGAAATGAGCAGTGATTAGTGAGTAGTGAGTAGGGAGTAGTGAGTAGTGCTTAGTGAATAGTGAGTATTCAGTAGTGGGTAGTGAGGAGTGAGTAGTGAGTAGTGAGTAGGGAAGAGGGAGTAGTGACTAGGGAATAGTGAGTAGCGAGTAGTGGGTGGTGGGTAGAGAGTAGTGGATAGTGAGTAGTGAGCCGTGAGTAGTGAGTAGGGGGCAGTGGGAAATGAGTAGCGAATAGCGTGTGCTCAGTACTGGGTAGTGAGTAGTGAGTAGTGAATACTCTTTGGGGCTTGGGTTAGTGGTTGGGGTTCGGATTAGGGGTTTGGGTTAGGGTAAGGAGTAGGGGTAGGGATGGTGGGGGTCAGGTTCCGGAGTCAGGGGCGGCCGTGGCGAAAGGGGGGGGGGGGTTGCGGCCAAAGGGGGGAGGGGGGGGGGTTCGGACCCCCCCCCCTTTTGAAAGGGGGGAGGGGGGGGGGTCCCGACGACGGATCGAGGAAAGGGGGGGGGGGGTTCCCCGACGATGGATCGGGGAAGGGGGGGAGGCTCCCCGACGACGGATCGAGGAAAGGGGGGGGGGCGGGTCGCGGGTTCGCACCCCCCCTTTTGGGGTTATCCAGCGGCGCGCCCTCGTAGATTGGACAGGTGTGCTTCTCCCCAGGTGTGCTTCTCGATTGTGCTGCGGGCGAAATATAACAGTCCCAAGCAGCCCCCGATCGTGCTCCGCCCGCGGGCGTGACAGCGCGTGAGCTTTGACAGTTATTTTGTCGCTTCGCTTATTCCGCCGGCCCAGACTATTCCATCGAGGGCGCTTGCCCGCGTGTTTGTTGCCATTCGGGACGATCGACATGGGTACGGAAAGACTGGGTCCAATGCCCAACAACACTTCCTGTTCATTTTGAACAGGACTCGCTGTCCAGGCTGCCGCGGCCTGTATCCATTTGAGACAGAAGGCGGCCTGCCCAACAGCAGCCGCTGTTGGTTTGACACAACATTTGTTGTTGGGTATTGTACCCATTTTTCCGTACCCATTTCGGGCGTCCGCAGCATTTGCGGTGCTGATCGGTGGTGGTAGTTTCTTTGCGCGAGCAGTCGTGGGCGTCTCGGGGCAGATGGTGTCAGTTGCAGTAAACCCGCACAGGAAGGATGAACAATTTTCCCAGGTTGCCCTTGCATCCTTCCCCTTCGGCCCATCCTTGGCCGCTTTCGCTGGCCGCGCCCCGCCCGCAAAGTGTCGACATGGGTTTCCAAGGCCCTCGCATCCTTATCATGCGTCCTTATCATACGGGTTGACTCTAGTGTCTCCCCTCTTGGGCCGCTCGTGGACTCGTGGACTCCCCTTGAGGCGCTCTTGGGCCCTCTTGGGAGCCACCTGGGGGCCCATTATAACAACGTTAGCACTTCACTGCGCGCTCGTGGGGTCATTTATGGAGCCCCGTGGGGCCACTTTGGAGCCTCTTGGAGGCCTCTTGGAGGCCTCTTGGGGTGGTCTTGGGGGCCTCGGCGTCTCGTGGCCGCCCTCGGGGCCTGCAGGCCTGAATCGTGGCACTCTCGGCGGCTGCATGGGGCCCTCCTTGGCGGCCGGGAGACTGAGACGACGATGACGCCTAAATCGTCCCAAAGCCCCAGGAACAGCCTCAGAAAACTTGAGCCTCTTGGGGGACCTCCTGGGGCTGTTTTTTGACCCTGTGGAGGCCATCTTGAAGCTTCTGAGAGTGTACCGCCCATGGATCCCGACTCGAATCGGCTCGTGGTCCATACCCAGCAATCCCAGGGCTAGTCGAATCGGCTCCATCCCAGGGCCATCCTATTCATACCCAGGGCCATCCGTGGTCCATACCCATCCATCCCGACTCCATCCCAGGGCTAGTCGAATCGGCTTGTGGTCCACACCCGGCCAAGAAAACACCTCTTGGAGTTCCCTCGCGGGGATTCCGGCAACTGTGACACCGACCGCCTTCACCTGCCCAACGCTTGCCCGGGGACCTGGCTTTTTGTTCCTGGGACCCCCGGGGGCCGCCGCCGCCCGCGCAAACTATGACAATCGAACCCTGCTACTGGAGGATGACGATTCATGAATGACCGGGGGTCGTGTTCACGCGGCGGCGCTCGGGATGACGATTAGAAAAAACCGGCCGCGGGCTGGAAAACTATTCTTCGTAATCGTTCTCCTCCAGTCAGAGAGTTGTGCAGAAATAGCAGAACACTTTTTTGTTTGATCGTTCTCTCCCATTTTTCATTAGTCGTCATCCCGCGTTACCAGAGAATTCTGCGCGCCTCTGCCCATCGGGCTAGCGAACATGACGGGGCGTGCCTCTTGCCCAGCGCCAGAGAGTCGCCGCGATCCCGTCGTTTTGCGTGCGGGGCTCCGAGAGGCGAGCCCTCGCCGCGCGAGCGCGCAGGCCGCGGGGCTGTGCTATTTTTGTGCTGCTGTCCCAACGCCTGGCATCGCTCGGACGTGTGCATTTTTCCTTCGGCGAGGACCACCGAGGAGCATCCTTGATCATTTGGCGATAAAGCCACGCACAACACCGAAACAAACACAGGGAATGGACGTCCGAGCGATGGCCAGAACGCCTCTCATCAGATGCCTGATACGACCTTCTCCGTTCTCCCTCATCCCTTCCCTCCTCCACCTCTATCCTGCCCTCGGCCCTCCGCCCCCCTGCTTCTTCCAAGGCCGTCTGCACGGAAGGACGGAGCGTCCCCAGGCGCTCAGTCTGTCGTCGCATCCTCGCTCGCGTTGCTCGACGACCGCGTTGGCCGAGTGGAAGTTTGAAGAATTTGAAGTCGCCTCGTGCGACCGACCCTTGCGACGCTCGCTCGAGCGGCGTTCCATACTGCTGGGTGTATGATGAAGGCGGAGCCCGTCTGCGGGGAGATTTGAGGGTTTGTGTGTCATTGCATGAGCTCGCTTGTGGCTGTGGGAAGCTGACTCGTGCGCCGAGTGTCTGGGAAAAAGAGAGAAACCGCACACTCACACATCGGCTATACGTAAGCGGGACCCTCCGCTGGAGTGACCTTTGGTGTGTGGATCTCGGAGAGTGCGCGGGGGCCAAAGAATGCAAGCCGCCGCTGCCGCGCGGCCAGTCTTGCGTGCAGCCGGACAGAGACGAGTCAGCGAGCGTGCTTTTAACTCGCACGGGCTTCTCGGGGGCCTCGGAGAGGCGCACTGGGGGCCTCTTGGGGGGGCCTCGTGGCGGCCTCTTGGTGCAGCCTGTTGGGCGCCTCTGGGGGGATCTTGCGGCCGTCCTGGGGCGTTCTGGGGCCGCCTGGGAGGACCTCGTCCGGCCGTGTTCGACCCGTCCTGGGCCCGCACCCTTTCAGCGCCGTGGACAGAGTCACGACATCTGAGATCAGCCACGCGCAGAGGGGGGTATGGGGGAGGGGGGAGGGCGTCTTAGAAGCACCCCTGCTCCTTGGAAGGCGCGGGCCTTCTCTATAGAGGTAAGGCCGGCGCCTTCTAAGAAGCAGCCTGCTTCTAAGAAGCCCTCCCCCCTCCCGCCACCCCCTTGTGCGCGCCGCCAATGGGATGCGCAGAAAGATGAAGTCCATTGCGCCGACGTTGGCACGCAAGCTGCCCGCGCAGGGTCGCGCGTGGGCGCCCCCGTCTCTCCAACGTGTCGTGCCGTGCCGGCGTCCCGCGCAAGCTCGCCACGCCATCTCGCGGAAAACCCGCTTCTGATCGTCGCTCGAATTTGACCTCTCCCGGGCCTGGGCGCCCATAATTGACGATAATGACGATACTGATGACGATAATGACGATGATGACGATAAGGACGAGCACTGTCGTCATTATCGTCATTATTGTCATCATTGTCGTCATTATTAGACGCTGGAACCACCCGCGAGCACCCCCCCCCGCGCGACGTGACGAGGAGGAGGAGGAGGAGGAGGAGGAGGAGGAGCCCCGGAATCGGCGACACGTCACCCATAGATCTGCGACGGGCCCCCCGCGCGAGCAGCAGACGGCAGGGCGCCGGGCCGCGGCCTCCGAGAGGCCGCGGCCTCCCGGGTGCGCCGGTGGCGCTCGGCGCTGGGCGGAGGGGGTGTGCGGGCAGCGGGCCCGCGGCAGCACGGGGCACGGGGCGGCCCGTCCAGGCCTCCCCAGCGTTCCTTGCTCGAGATGCTTGGCAATAAGGCCAGGCCCCTCTCTTGCTCTTTTTGTTGGGGGTCCCACGCGGCCCTCGCTCGGCCACCGAGCGACCGATGCGAGCACGACCCGTCGTCGAAGCCTGCGTTGCATCAACCCAGCGTCCCTCGTGGGGGGGGAGGGGGGAGGGGGGGCGAGCGTGGCGAAGAGGACGAGGATGATGACGGCGTTGGCGATGACGGGGACGATGGCGATGCCGACGTTATCGATGATGATGGGGGTGACGATGACGATGATGCTGCTGACGGTGATGATGGTGATGATGATGTTGATGATTCTGATTCTGATGATGTTGATGCTGATGATGATGCCGATGATACTTATGGTCATGATGGCGATGATGATGCGGATGATGATGATGCTGATGATGATGCTGATGCTGATGATGCAGATTCTCATGATGATGGTGATGGTGATGCTGATGCTAATGATGATGCTGATGATTGTGATGATGATGATGCTGCTGCTGCTGATGATGATGATGATGCTGCTGATGATGATGCTGCAGCTGATGATGATGATGGCAATGGGGGGGGAACATAATTAGGTGGTGCCCTCCCAGAGGAGGAAGAGGGAGAGGGGGAAAAGGAGGATGATGATGGTGGTGAGGGGAGAGGTATTACACCCTTCCGGCAGAGTGCCCTGAACAGCTTCAAGCGTCGAAGAGACAGAATAGTGACGAGAGAAAAGAAGGATGATGAGTGATGAGGGGGGCCTCGCGGATATGTGGGTCTTCTGTGTCCTATTCCTGGAGCAATGTGTGGCGCGTAGTGGACTGCCGAG